TTTATCCCTAAGGCAAACTAGGCAAGTCTAGGGCGCCAGCAGCTCTAGCCAAATGCCATTTAGCGCTTGTCTACATGTAGAATAGAAAACTAAATTATATGGAATTGACGTAAATTTTGACACTTGTCGGTATCATTCTCATACATTTTGATTTCTACTTTCTCTTTAGACAAGTGCTAAAGTGGCGATTGGCTAAAGGCACAGGTTACAAAGCCCAACAGCCCATAAAATGCGCCAAAAAATTTGGTGCGCCTATGAGGTGCTTGTCTTGAGCGCTTTGTAAATTTAATTCACCTCTGACTAAGCCTACAGGTGTTAGGTTTGGTCATATTTCTAAATTTAGAAATGTTAAAAAATAAATAACATTTATTCGATTAACACCACGCTTTTTAGCTTTTTAACCTCGAAGCGGTAGGCAGAGCTGCACATTACGGCACTTAATGTAGCATCCGCTTTTCACGATTTATGTTACGAGTCCCATATAATAGGAGGATGAGCCTATTGCCATATACCGGGCACAATTCTATTAATTCAATCCAATAGCATCTAATTTTAAAACTAAAAGGCTACAGCATAAAATCTGAATTTTGCATTGATATTTAACGACCACGGAACACGGAAGTCGAAGGAATCTAATTATTTCTCTGACTTTTTTACCGAGTCTTATCGACTTCGTAAATCAGTTGTCAGATCAACGTAAAAAGGCAATAGCATTTATAAATACAATGTATATATCTACAGTAGACACTTATATCTATATTATTATGTATATTTATATACTAGTAGGCACTTGATGGGTTTCGCGTGGTTTGTATGTTTTTGCGAGTATTCATGAGATTTTGAGGGGTAGAAAATCAGAAGAATCCTTAAAAATATGACTGTCTGTCTGGTTGGTAACTTGTCGAAGATTCGATTTCAGTACGAAACAATTTCTTTGTGTACCACAAATTGTTAACAATAAACAGACAATTCAAATATTAATTCCGTGTCCGAAATTCGAACCTAAGACACACACTCTGCAGTTCATATCACTGACCAAACACCGCTCAAAATACATTTAAGAATTAACTGATTTCATATTTAGTTTAGTAGTTACGAGCGCAATAGCATACAAAGCACGTGTTCATAAGAGAATATTAACTAAAACCATTAATACACAGTAGTTTGATAGGAACGTAGGTAATAATAGGCCATTTGACTGTTGCAATAGTGATAGTCTGTAAATCGTTGTGATAGTCGACTATCATGATATTTATTGACAGTAATTAGTTGGTTACTGCTAATGATAGTCGACTGTTATAACAGTTAATGGTGGTGATAGTCGATTAATCTTTATGGCAATCGACTATCAAGATAATTAATGACAGTAATAGCTGATTAATGGTAGTTATAGTCGATAATTTGCTTTGATTGTCGACTATTATGATATTTAATGATAGTGATAGTCGTTTAACAGTATAGACAGTTAAATAAAACAGTTGAGAGAAATATTTATGTAGCTGATAGGTAAAATATTAAGTTTTAATAGTTTAACCATTGTGATAGTGATACTATCATATGAATTAACAACTACAGTTAATTTCCCAAGAATTAAACATTTTATGGGTAAAATTAACTATAATAGTCAACAAAATATCTTAATCACCAATAAATTGAAAAATATTACCCAAGGCTATTACTATATTAAGTAACCGTCAAGATAGTTGGGAATAAATTTAATCACCATGATAGTTTACGATTGTGATATTTAGGATCAATATCACAAGCCGCAGGGTTTATTGTTAATTTTATCTAGTAGATAGCGGTTATCAACGAATGTGAAACCGGCGATTAACAGTATATTACAGGAGACGGAATAACAATAAAATATTATTTAATTACATTTGTCGTATAAGTAATAAGGCCTAAAACGTTAGCTTGGAGATAGTGGGGGCGATTGGTGATTAATAAAATATTAGTTTAGATATTAATGAGACAAATAATTAGTGAATGAATCTTAGTCATTCATGATTATGGATTTTCTGGTATTTTATATCTTTGTTTGACCGCGCTAAACTCAGTAACTACAAGTCTGATTTGAATAATTCTTTTTGTGTTGGATAGTCCATTTATCGAGGAAGGCTATGGGTTATAAAACATTACGCTACGACGTATAGGAACCGAGTAGACCGGGCGCAACCGCGAGAAAGTAGCTAGTAATATTATGTAAATGTAATTAACTCAACAAGTTTCACACACAAAATCTACAGCACGGTTGGTGCGGTGGTTGGGCAACTGGCTGCCGTGCAACGTGTCGCGGGTTCAATTCCCGCACGGAACAACACTTTGTGTGATCCACAAATTGCTGTTCCGGGTCTGGGTGTCATGTGTATGTGAACTTGTAAGTTTGTAAACGCACCCACGACACAGGAGGAAATCCAAGTGAGGGTCACCGTTTTTTTTAAAAAAAGTTAAACTTGATATTGAGTATTTTGACCGACTCTCAAATCTAATATGGCTGGATCTAAGATCTAAATCTAGATCTGAAATAGTTAGCGAGGGCGAAAATCCTGTCAAGTATAATTGTATAACAATAATTATGAGATCATATTGCACTATGTACTATCCATTTTATTAATCACCATCCCCATTAAGCCACAAATCACCAAGTAAAGTTTAAAAATCTCAATATAATCGATGCCCAAACATAATAATACTTTCTAATTAAGTACAATAATTATCAAATACTATATAATAATAATAATGTATAATATATATCATATAAGACATTATATAATAAATTAATACGAATATAATAAATGTTAAGCCGTTTTTTTTCTTTAATTTTTTAGTGGCGTAGTGTTTAATCTTACATTTTAAATATTAGAATGAAGTTAAATTTAATTCAATTTATAAATGTAGAGATCATTTTTTTATATATAATTCCGATGTTGTTTTATAAAGTTCTTTTTATATACTTAATATAATTGTAAAATTAAACACTACGACACATTAAGCTTATTTTAATTATATTATTAAACACTAAAAATTTCATTTCAAGTCTTTTCTTTATATATATCTGGACGAAGTCCTGTCAAGCACTCAGTTTTGTAGAAGGCCAATCATTTTTTTTTAATTTATATTATATTATTAATTAATTAAATATTATTATATTACCTATTAATTAAATATACAACTAATTAATTACACAAGCATAATAACGACCAACTTACTAATAAATAATTATTAAAACATTGATTTCTTTGCCTCAAGTGTATTGACAAATTTTTTACTTTCATTATTTTTTTCTGAATATTCAAACAAGTCTCTCAGCCATACAATAATTCAGGATAATTTGTTGCCTTCTTAATTTATGAAATTAATAGGTCATGGAGTCACTTCATACTTTTCCATATGAATTCAAGCCTTAGAATTTGCACAAATACGTATTTGCATGGTTGCACGTGCGATGCGATGCGAATAGTGCCTACAAATATACGTTGAGTGTTTCATGTGCGTATTTCCATCATTTTTTTGGAACTATAGAAAAGACATATTTATTTTTTTTGTTATTGCTTTATACATCGAAAGTACTACTTGTGGCGAGTTGTTCTTTTTTATGGCATAAGCCGGTAAACGAGCAGACGGATCACCTGATGGTAAGCAATCGGCGTCGCCCATGGACTCGGAACACCAGAGGCGTTACAAGTGCGTTACCGGCCTTTTGGGGATTAGGAGTTTGAGGATGGTTGGAGATTCGGGGATTGCTGGGGGTAATTGGGCAAAATATGTTTTGCCGCGAGACGAATACCAAATAGATTCTACAGTCCACATAGCATTAAAAATAACAAATAACTAAAAGTATAAATCTATAAATACACTTGACACAAGATATCAATAGAATTATCTAAGAACATGTATCTTTGGGTAGATATATTGCGGGACAAAGTTAATTAGGAATAGTTGTAACACTACACTTACAAGCCTCGTGCGGCGGGTGAACATTTGTGGTGACAGACATACAGATGGTATCATAAATAATATATTTCTTTAGGCATCATTGTTTTAATTTATGTTAATTTTAATGAGGATAAACAGTTTTAACTTTAGAAATATAGTTTTCTTCTGACCAATACATAAAACAAAAACACTTGAAGACACGGAACCGGAATCATAGACAATAGTATAAAGTATCTATGCACTAAGGTTCTACCATAGATATAATATTTAGTCAGTAAACTAGGGTTCAATTTTCTAATTTCTACACATGGTCATCACAGGGCAAAGGCCTCATTATCCTCCTTCCGCTCATCTCTTCGTATAGCTTTCTGTGGCCAATACTTTTTATATGCGTCAAGTTCATTCAGCCATCTCCTTCTGAGTCTATCACGACGTCTATTGACGTTCAGGCTACGCTCAGTAGTGAGTTTTGCCCACTGACGTGCGGTAGACATGACCAGCCCAGTGCCACTTTAAGCTTGCTTTAGGCATCATATATTTTATTAATTCTAAGATCATATATCAGGCACAATTCCAGACTTCACTGTCATAACATCACGCGTTTTATTTGCCTAATGGGGTACGTACAGTACAGGTGTACTTTACGTACTAATTGCTTACAATGTATTGCAAGCGTTCATAGGTAACCGATTACCATCAGGTGAACTGTGCGGTCTTTTTGCCACCTTCATTTCACGGTATATAAAAAAAAACAATACGCTGAAGTACTCAAACGCTATTAAGTCGCGTAAATATATTAATTCCAAACGAAGCAATTATTTGGTATACAATTAACAGTTTTAATGTTATTAATTTAGTGTTTAAAATCGTTCATTAATTTTCACATAACATAAAACAACATCGCGCCTTTTATCCCCGAAGGGGTAGGCAGAGTTGCACATTATGTCACTTAATGCCACTGTACAAGGTAACACCCACTTTTCAGTATTTATGTTATGAGTCCCATGTAATAGGGGGTGAGTCTATTGCCATATACCAGGCACATTTCCAGACTCCGTGCTACTACTAAGGTTATTACAAACCCAGTAATACTTTGGCCGACCCAGGAATCGAACCCGAGACCCCGTGCTGTCATTAATTTTCAATTCGAGAGAAATCGTAATATCTAGAAAGCAGTGTTTCATATACGTCTATTAATTCACACTCGTCGTACACATATTTCTTAGATTTCAGATCTTTTAAATAATTTTCAATATAATTAGAGGTATATATTTTAATAGCACCCCAAATGTTCACACGCGACACTAAATAAATAGTTACCATAAAACAAAATTTCATATCTTTGGACGAAATAAATTAGAAAAAAGATAAAATTTAAAATTACACTTCAGTTATAATTATATCATAAAATTTGATAAATTTTTCGTTTCTTTGCTTTTTCTTTGGCAGTTTTCCATCTTTCGTATACTGGCCATGGGGCCTACCTTTAAAAGTTTGTCTTTAAGCGCCAATCTCGAAAACGGCTCGACAATAATTAAATAGCTCTTAAAAATAGCCATATATCAATTTATAAGTACATTCGATCCTAAGATTAACAATAAGTCGTTTATTTTAACAGAGACAAAGAAAACATAATTTAATTCCTTAACTAGAACTTTCAAATTGCATAATAACAGAAAAATTGCATGTTAAGCACCTTTGACAGCTGTCAATGTCAAAATATCAACTGTCAGAATTCACGCTAGCGGCTGTCACAGTGACGTTTAGTGGGCAGAAAGGCCTTGGCGTTTTTTGTGGAGAGGAGCAAAAATTAATGTATGATTTGGGGAAGTATACATTATCAACGTACAATAATATTTTAAAAGCGGAATACATCTATCGGTATAACTGAATGTGAGAATACTGAAACGATTAAAATAAAACTTACTAACATTAATAGCCTCAATTATAAACCCCAATATGTGAAAAAACTAACATTCTATCACAATAAAATACCAATAAATAATCCCCATTTACGAAAAAAAAACGCCTCTTATTCCCCAGTGCATAAGTAGCAAAGTCACTAATCCCCAAAAACCATCTCGCACAAAAATCACCAATAAACCACCCACTTAACCACCTCATTCATGTAACGACATGTCTAATGCCGACGTACCATCATCTCCTTTCTTCTCCTCCTTGTCATCACTCTTACCAACTTCATCTTCGCTTGACAAGTTAGAGTTGAAAAGAAAATGCTTGCCGAACTCCTCAGCGTCATAATTCTCCGTTTCGGTGCCACTTTTGTAATTATTCTGGTCCGTGGCCGGCGTGTACTCGAAGGACTTGTATTCCTTCTGCTTCTTGCTATTCTCTACGAATTGCTTCAGTTGCTGGGGCATTGGGAATGAGGATTTTATGTGACAACGCTTCATCCAGTTGCGCAACGATTTGCGCGGGACCTTGTGTGTTTGTGCCGCTCTGTGAAGAAATTGCGTTGATTAGTTTTTGATTTGACGGACGATCATGAATGAAAAGACTGCTGAGGAAGCAAAAGAGGTATGTAAGAATCGTAGCAATTGGCATTCCATAGTCTTTTTCTACACCAATGGGAAAAGGCGTGTAGTTGTGTATGTATGTAGTTTTAGAGTATTTTTAAGGTTGATTAATATTAGCATATTGCATGAGTCATCGAGAACGTATCGTCACAACGTTGAATTATCTTAACAGCAGTAAGCGTGACACGTGGTACGTTTGTTTCGGGCGTGGACTTGTTGCAACTTGTATATATGTTGCTAGGCTTAATCTAGTATTATGCGTGTATTACGAATATTAACACGTTCGAGGACGCTACCACTTGAGTCGGGTTTCCAGAATGACACAGTAAATGTCTATACAAAATTATACGACGTATCAGTACGTAGTGTCCCATGAAAAAATATTGTTTTAAACATATCATGACACAACCGTTTTATCACGTCAACGTGTATATGCATCTTGGTAATGATACGCCTCGTTGGAGGTGTCGGAATCATGAAACATGCTTATCATATGCCTTATTTGCGCTTATATCCGTCTAAAACATACAATAACCTATTAAACATCAATTTCACATTGTAAAATCATTAATTTGCATTAAACACATAATACACAGTGACACAGCCGCGTTGAATGTAGGAGCGCGGGACGTATAAATACGTTGTGCATATGTGAATACCGTAACCGCACACTATCAATGGCACTTATTTGAAATAGTTCTAAACTTACCCTACGTGACAGTACAGTGTTGGATATTTTATGTGTTGTGACACAAGATACATTCAAAAGGATTTTTACTTGAACTTTCATCGGAAATGAACGTTCTGCCGTATAATTTAAATGTTATTTGAACGTCATCGTACGTTGTGCCGAATTAACATCTCGAACGATGACATATAATCTCGTTCTGTCCTCGAACGTGTTAAGTGATTACGATAAGTTTGCAAAATGCTATGCAAATAATGGCAAAAACATTTGGGTATTTAAAAAAAAATGTTTTTTTTATAAACTCATAAACGCGCAGAACGATCACCTGATGGTAAGCAATCGGCGACGCCCATGGACACTTGGAATACTAGTGGCGTTACAAGTGCATTATCGGCTTTTTGGGGATTAGGAGTTTGAGGATCGTTGGGGATTCAGGGATTGGGGATGGGGAGGGGAGGTAATTGGGCCTCCATGTATCCTCCATCATCTGATGATGATTTTTTTTTCGAAGTCTGAACCTACTGTTTGACAGTTGTGTTCAGACTGTGTACTTGTACTATTATTGGAACTTTCAGTGCCTAAAACACTTAAAATATACTTTGCTCAGAAGATTATAAAGGGGGTCGAACCCAAAATCTCTAGCTCGACTGTTATTGGGTATAAGATTTAATCTACTAACCTGTATATACTGCCTCCCTTCTTGACATCCATGAGCGCGGCCCACATGGCCTCGTTAGAGTATCGGCGGTTAGGGTTGAACTTTCCCATCATTACACGCTCCAGATCCTTACGCGACAGCCCTGACGAGCTAACTTCCTTTCCCTCCAAAAATTGGTCCAAATCAGACTTGAGAACAGTCTCCCCGATATCTATATTCCTATCCTTAAATATTGGTGGTCTACCACGCCTCCGCATCTGAGATTTCTCCCCCAATTTAGGGAAAACTTCTTTATTGGCAACACCGTCTTTGGTTTTGGGTATCAACTCTACTTCAGATTTTTGGTTCTTGGGATCAGGTTTTGGTTTCTTCACTTGGCTAGCTTTTAGGAGGGACACCTCTAGTTCCCCGTTTTGCTCTAACCAAGACTTGTAATAATCATTTTCAGACTTGTCACTTGATTTTTGGGTGTATTCATCAGTTGGGTTGGTATTGAAACCGTATTTTGAAAATTCGTTCCTTATTTCTGACGTACTCATTTTGGCGAGTCTACTTATGTACTCTGAGTTCGCTAAGTTTTGTAGTTTAGTTTGGAAGAATAGTTCACTCTCCGGCTTGACGCGGAGATAGGAGCGCCCTAAAACCAGACACAAGTTATGAATCACATTGGACGATATAATTGAACCATGAATGGGATCTACAGCGGATAACAACCACTCAAATGTCTGTAAGATAGTCAAAATGCAACTAAACAACAAATTACCTACATAATTTACCTTCATTCATGGTTCAATTTAAGTTTCAAATAAAATTATACATACTACTATAATATAAACGGCCTACCTTACAGACATTTTACATAATTTTCCTTTAACCGACAATATCCATTCACAATATGATCTTCGCTCAACACTCGACCGAATTTTTGACGTGGGCAAACACAGTTTGATGAACCAATTGAATTTTTATTTAAAAAACAAAATATTTGTGAGCCAAAACAAAAAAATGTTAAAAAAAATTAAAATATTTTAGCAAGTGACGAGAGAGAAGTCACATTGCAAACAAACATTGATTTAATTAAAATAATTAATTAAAAAATAAATTAAATAAACAAATAAATTAATTATTCATGTTATGTTACATTGTCTATGTTACTTACCGGAGGGTTGTCCTAAACTGCTGCCTGGTTTGCCGGGTTCATCGTCCTGAAATAAAAAGAAAATAACCTTAAGTCTTTGACTGACAAATCCTCACTAACTTCGGTCACCAGTGGCCCCTTGCGTTTAATGTGTTAAAATGTACATTTGTTATGCTTTTTACTCTTAAAGAATCAACGGGCAGATGTCATAAATCTTAAAATACACTACAAATTTAATTATTCATCGAAAAGACGTAAATATCCTCCCAACATATTTAGCGCCTATAATTTCTTTTACGCCTCAATTCCTATTCCTTCCAACACCCCATAAAATCATTTCACCATCGTCCCCATAAACTCTCCCATCAACTCCGAACTCATCCACATCATCCCCAAACTCCCCATATTAATCCCCGAATTCCACCCTCATAATCCCCAAACTGCCACTAACCTCATTAAACTCCATATTATCATTGTCGAGCTCCCCGTAGTAGAGTCCATCTTCCTCCACGGTCTCCTCCTTGATGTCCGCGCGTTCCTCCGACTTCCGCTTTTTAGTACCATTACTCGTTGTGTGGGTGTTGTTTGGTGGGGGCTTCGGGAGGTGGGTCGTGGGGCCTGGAAGTGATTTGATATCGTTTATTTATCATGAGTAGACTAGAACTGTTCTCAGACGTTAAATTAAATATTTTTATAAATTTAAGAGAGTCTTTTGGATAAAGTAGTGTTAGATATAATATTTAAACAGATATACAGATCAAATTATTCATAAATACTAACAATAAGTCGTATCATTCACATTTGTAAAATCAGTTTTTTTACAAACACAGAATATCACGCCTTTTAATCCTTAATGACTAAGTAGAGAGCCCATTGATTTTTCACCAATTATTTTGCAAAAAATCTACATTGGACGTCGAGAAATTAGGTATATTTGTATTGACAAAACACAAGATAAATCTTTTCATCAAAGTTGAAGTTCAAAAGGAGAGTTATGATAACTAGATATTTACATACCATTAGTAGTTCCATGTTCCCTCTGCGCGTTGGCGACGAGTGCGTCGCTGGCAACCGTGTAGTCTCTATCCTTGGCGGCCGCACTGTCCGCGCCCAGCGTGCCCAGCTCGGAGGACAAACTCGATGTGTCGCTTGAGCATAGACCTGAATTCATAAACACAAAGATTTTTTATAAAAACATCTTACTAAAAGGGAGACTTACTTTTAAGTAGGTAAAATACCTGCGTTAGGATATAACATTACATCTTGTGTGACTTAAATCAGATAGTATATTCATTACTAGATTTTACCCGCGGCTTTGCCCGCGTATGCCTGTTTTATCCAATAGGAACATTTGATCGGGATAAATCCTATCACCTAAGTTACCCTGCCTGTATACCAAATTTCATCAAAATTGGTTCAGTAGTTTCAGCGTGATTGACGAACAAATATCCAAACAAAGAAACTGTCACATTTATACTATATAGTGTGGTTTTCACCTGTATCTCTTTCACTCTCAATACTAACCGATTTTTAATGAAAGTCCAGTTATATTGACTACATTAACTTTATATCAACCGAAAGGTACGAAGACCTATAGTTCACACAGCGTCGCAAACCAATATATACCTTACATCACGACTATACCTCTAAAGTATAACGTACCTCTGATCTGTAGCGCCTCAGCAGACTTCAGTAGACTGGGCAACTCGTCCTGCGTGACGTTCACCTCGCCCTTGTACATGAAGTCTACTAGCGCTTGCATTTCACTGAACCTGCGGAATATAGGATAGCATAACATTAACATGGAAAAGAATTCAAATAGGTAAGCTAATACACCAACAAATCCAAACACCACTAATCCCCACAAACCCCCACACTAATCCCCAAAACGCACCTCATATCCCGCATCAGCACGATGGGATGGTCGCACGGGTTCTGTAGTAACAGCCGCTCGAGGTACGCTGAGCATGCTGAGAGGACCAGCTTGTGACATCGCAGCTGCCGGGACTCGCACGCTAATGTCACGTCCGCAAACTGCTCCGTTAGGAGGAGCCGGGGGAATACCGCCTGGAAATAATGAATTAATTTTTGTAAATCAGCTACAAAACAGCCTTTTATGTATCAACATTTACGGAAACGGGCATTTGCCTCCTAAATTTAAAAAGAGGTAGGTGGAAACTGGTGTAAATGGTGTAAACCGGAGTGATAACCACGGCCTCACAGAAAATCGACGTGAAACAACGCTTGCGTCGTGTTTCGTCGTGTGAGTGAGGTTACCGGAGGCCCAATTACCCTAGTCTCCGCCCCTTGTCCCCATCTCCGGAATCCCCGAATCCTCCACAATCCCCAAATTCCAAATTTCCAAAAGGCCGGTAACGCACTTGTAACGCCTTGGTGTTTCGAGTGTCTATGGGCGGCGCCGATTGCTTACCGTCAGATGATCCGTATGCTCGTGCACCGGCTTATGTTATAAAAAAATAATACAAAATGCGACATACCTGTAAATTGGTGTGGTAAGAGTTCCACCTCACGCAAAACTGTTGCGGTGGCAGCGCCATCTCTATTTCGGTCCGCGAACTATCACATACAACTACCTAAGCATATCTTTGGCCAAACACTTTACTTTACACTTCGCGAAAAAATTGCACGAAACCGTTTTTCACTTAGATATTAATAGAATTATTTAATTATAAAAAATTGCACAAAAGTCCGCTTCGATTTCTTTATCTTCCCTCTTCAAAAACTTTGTATCACAGTGTTACATTAATACTAACAGGTAAAAAATATTATATTTTCTCTTTCTAATTAAGTACTACGAAATAGTATTCGTTTTTTTTATAATTTATTTAGTAGAAACTGTTATAGACTAGACTGTATATTTATAGGGTCAATACTGGATCTGTATTTTTATACCTGGAAAGAGAGAAAAAGAAAATATTAGAAAAATACATTAAAAACATAACATAACATCACGCCTTTAACCCCGAAGGGGGAAGACAGAGGTGCACATAACGGCACTTAGTGCCACTGTACAATGTAACACCCACTTTTGACTATTTATGTTACGAGTCCCATGTAATATAGGGTGCAAACTACAGACATCTCACTCGTCACTCCTGCTTTTTTTTCTTCAATTTTAAATATTATTTCTCCACGGAATCTTGGTCAGTGCTCTTGTCATAATTATTTATTCACAATACGTCTAATCAATATGTGTATACCTATACAGTACCTGACAATCGTACTTGCAACCACTTAACATTGTTACAGCCAGTATCAAAATGTGCGACAAACCGACTGACAGGCATCCAGGCAGGGTAGATGCATAATTTGAAATGTCGCGTGACGTCACTTCTATGTACATTTTGTACGTAGAAATGACGTTTGAGCCCCCACTCCTAAACTTTGATTCGTTTTATCTAAGTACAGTTTTATTATACGACAAAATAAAAAATACGTGTCTAATATTTTTTCATTACCTAACTTACGGACTAATTAGATTTTTAATGTTCATATCCTGTCATCATCCCAATTGTGAGTGAGCCTATTGCCATATACCGGGCACGACTCCAGACTCCGTGCTACTACTCACAAAATTCTTAACTGTACAATAAAAATAACATTTGACAGTTTTCAGTATGGAAGAATTGTCAAATAATTAAAGTTATTCCCCAGTTAAAATGTATCTGTCGTTGGAAAAATCGACCTTGAATATTGTAAATGCGAATTTGTGTGTGTGTGTGTGTGTGTGTGTGTGTGTGTGTGTGTGTGTGTGTCTGTGTGTTTGTTACTCAATCATGTCAAAACAGCTGAAGGGATCGGGATGAAATTTGTAACAGGGGTAGATTATGGTCTGGAATAACACATAGGCTAGTTTTTTATTCCATGTGAACGCGGAGGAAACAGCTGACAGAAGATTGCACCATATTTAAACACGTGACTATTCACCAGTGACGTCATGAGCGTCACGTAACAGGGGAGCCTATTGTCAAACACTTATTACCATTAGTTAGTTAGGTTACAGTCTACTCCTCCAGTGGAGGAGTTCTGTAGTCCAGTGGAGGACCTTCACATAATCTTCACACTTGGCGAACGAAACGAAAACCTGGTCATAGAGAACTCTGTCTCTGGTATATGTGTCCCTCAATTCGCATTACTTCAGTTCAAAAATCGAAGCGAGATAGAGCTGCTAAATACTCATTACTCGATTAAACAGTCAAACACCAAGCGGTCACCGGTGACCGCAACCTATTGTTCTATAATTGTGTCTACAAAACCGGTACTCGACGAGTTAAAATACTAGCGTAGAACGAACAAGGCATTAATCGGGTATACGACACCCGCGGGAAGAGTAGGAGTGAAATAAATGTATCCGACTTTGCCGTCACCACACGGCTCATACATTACCTATTTTAAAATACTATGACGTCATATTTCAAAAACTAAAAGACCTAAAACTTCTTTAGTCTTTCTCTAAGTACCTCTACAACCAAAAATACAATAATTAGTTACATTTTAACAAAAACCTGTACAGCTCAAACTCGCGACGCATAACAAAAAACATCCCCCAACTAAAGAGACTAAATACCAAAAATAAAAGACGAAGTGCACGATGGCAGCGCCCTCTCATAATTGCTAAACTTTTTACGCGAGAGTGAGGGAGACAGATACATGTTTCCCTGTTTCGTTTAAGAGGGAAAAGTTTGAAACAAAATGTGGGTATGGATAAATCGATAGGAGACGCCGTTGACCCTATGAGGTATGGCACAAGTTGGTATATACATATTTGTAGCTATATGGTATATTTTGGTGTGTAGGAAGTTAATGGTCTGTCTTTATATCATACTAGCTACTTCCGCGCGTTTTCACACGCTCTACTCAGCTCCTATTGGTCGTAGCGTGATGTTTTATAGCCTACTATAGCCATCCTCGATAAATGCGCTATTCAACTCAAAAATAATTATTCAAATCAGACTTGTAGTTACACAGATTAGCGCGTTCAAACAAACAAACAAATAAAAAAACAAACTCTTCCGCTTTATATAATAGTATAAGATACAAATCTTCCTTAAGAATCACTCTATCTATTAAAAAAACCGCATCACTATCCGTTGCGTAGTTTTAAAGATCTAAGCATACATAGGGACAGACAGACGGCGGATAGCGACTTTGTTTTATACTATGTAGTGATGACGTGAAAGTTTCTTTATCTGGATGTTTGGATGTTTGTCCATCAATCACGCTGGAACTACTGAACGGATTTTGATGAAATTTGGTATACAGGCAGGGATGCTTGAATATTTAATTTTTTTATATAATACTAGTTTTCAAAACATAGCCAATAGAATCTAACCGGTACACGATACGTTGTGGACAACAAGGTACTTCCAAAACAAATTCTTATGACTTACTATACACATTTTCTAGCCTCGAAAACCGATAACACTGCTACAGTAAAATCAAACTTTAATGCTAAAGCGATAAGAATCATTATACTATTTGAACAGTGGCAGGCGTGGTGTATTAACAACTTGTTTAGAATTTCCATCAAATATGGTTCGCGTCATACGGAATCATGTTTGGGTGCAAAAGGCGTCGAGTTATTGTCGGTGCAGCAACATTTGTCGCGGTCAAAATTTGGATGGGTGACAAATGTTTAATTAAACAACATCGGGTGTCTGGGAGAGCCATGCTTCGCCACGACTGGGCCGGCTTGACCGGAGTGATACCACGGCCGAGCAGAAAACCGAACGCTTGCGTTGTTTCACGTCGTGTGAGTGAGGTTACCGAAAGCCCAATAATCCCCCTCCCTAACCCCCCCTTCCGAATCCACGAATCCTCCACAATCCTCAACTTCCCAATTCCCAAAAAGCCGGTAACGCACTTGTAACGCCTTGGTGTTTCGAGTGTCCATGGGCGACGCCGATCGCTTACCATCAGGTGATCCGTCTGCTCGTTTACCAGCTTATGATATAAAAAAAAATCAGAAGGCAGTCCGCTGATACACCATGGAGGATCTATATAAGAGGATCTCCAACTCCACGCTTGGCAAACGTATAGGAGATAACAAATAAAAAAGCTCAGGTTTATTAGATGGACCATGGGCCTTAATATAAGAAGGATTGCCATAATCTCCAAGCTTGGCAAACGTATGTACAGGTTTATTAAATAAAAATTGCACTGCTCAGTCTATGGTTCATAAGTCGGGTACACGATTCCCACAATAAGTATGGCGGTGGTAACAAAATTAACATACCCTGCACAGCACGGCTATATAAAGTAGTATCATAGTGTTACAATCACCTCTGCTTACCCTCTGTTTACACCGGTATACTGACGTACATACAAACTCGTCGTAGTAGCATGACGCACGGGGGGGTTCCGACAAAAAATATCTCAAATTGAATTCACTCTACATATGAATCCTTCATTGTTTTATAGTATTCGACATTTTTACTGACTCGTTGGCCGACTGTTTGCTAGTGCGACTGCCGGGCAAGGGGTCTAGGGTTCCATACTCGGATTGGGCAAAGTATTACCGGGTTTTTCAGAGTAGCACGGAGTCTGGTATTGTGCCCGGTATATGGCAATAGGCTTACCTCCTATTACATGGGACTCGTAACATAAATAGTCAAAAGTGGGTGTTATATTGTTGCATTTAAGTAGCGTAATGTGCATCTCTGCCTACCCCTTCGGGGATATAAGGCGTGATGATATGTTGTGACATTTTTATGGTATAAGCCGGTAAACGAGCTGATGGATCACCTGATGGTAAGCAATTGGCGTTGAATATGGACATTCGCAACACTAGAGGACCTAGTGCGTTATCAGCCTCTCATACAGTAAAACATAACATAACGCAAGCGTTGTTTCACGTCAGTTTTCTGGAAAGCCGTGGTTTCAATGCCTTAAGACTGGGTCCAAAATAATTTTTGCTTAGAGTGAAACGGACAATTAATCTAATTTTTACAGAAAAAGATTACAAAAAACCTACTTAAAATAATATTAAAAAAAGTAAAACTTTTTCGTATAACAGAATATTTAAAATAACCACAGACAATATTCGTTGTAAGGAAAAATAACTCGAGAGGATTACTAAAGAGCTCCCCATTCGCATTGGCACAAAAGAATTGCCACCCTCTTTTAAACTCACGATTCTAAATTTAGAAATTAGAAAAAAAACAAACCATCTTGATCCAAGATGGCCGTATTTTAATGACAGACATTAAAAAAATTTGGTAGACGGTTTCAATGAGCTTCTACCAATCAAGCCCTTTCGTTTGATATCCATAATGGAGGTAGTTGTGGAAACAATTAGATTATATTGTATGCTCATCAAGATTAAGAGTGTGTACCAAATATCAGATCGATCCGTCGTCAGGAAGGGGGAGACATTACAATTAAAAACACCCAAACACACAAATGGGACAAGCTAAACGAAACCATAATTAAAATATAAAAACACGTCAAATATGCGTCAAAATTTTGAGTATTTTGTATTTATTTCCGTGGTTTCGGGTGCCAAGGTAGCTAGCGATGGCGGTATGGGGGCATTAAAATGTGAGGAAGGGGAGTGTTATCTTGCGCTTGGTCCGGGCATCGACCCTAGGGGCGCCCGAAAATAGACTATGCGGGGGTCTCAGAGCCGCGGTTAATTTTGGACCGACATTTTAAGGCCGTCTGGATTCTTCTCAGTAACGAACCGTCATGTATGAAATGAAGGATGAATAACATTTATTCTGAACTTTTAAATGACCTTTAGTTCGAATTGCCTGAACACTATGTTTAGTATTTCCGTCATTTTGTTTCGTTGTTAGAGATCTATTTAACTTTTTAACGTAATATTTAGTTCGCGTTTATCGACAATACTTCAAGAAACATCAATTTATAAAGAGACGGTCTTAACTCTTACA